AGCTCTGTGAAGAAAGGGATTCTTATCCGTTTCATTTAGTGCTGTACCCTAGTACCCACAACAGTGCAACAGGCACTCAATAAATAGTTGTTGAATAAATGAACAAAAGTAGCTGCATATTTTCCAGTAATAAATGACATTCTTATTTTTGAAAATAAATTCTAACGAGATAACCATTGTATTTTTAGACCATTTCTTCTTGCACTAATCATCCTTCTCAATAACATAACATTTGTAAAACTGAGGTTAGATATGGGCTCTTTAACTTTCCATTACAGAAGATAAAGTGAAAAGGCTAGACCCAATGGCGTTATTCCTTTACTCATGACAAATTGCTTGCCGTTGCAATCTCAAAATCTACTCTATGGTATTAACTCACTTTACTTGTCCCTCTGTCCCTTTCTAGATGGTAGCAAATCGTCTCTGGAGCAGGGCAGAGTCAGAACAACTTCTATTTGGGGAAGAAATCATTGCTGGTGACCTTACTTTCAATTACCAACTTTCTAGTGACATTTGCATAATTTTAGAGAAAACGAACACCGGCATTTGTAAAGTTGTGGCTTTCCCACTCCCATTTATCATCTCTTAATATTCCTTGAAAAGGAAATTATCAATTTATCACTCTGTATTGGCAACAGAATGTCCCTTATATTTTTCACGTATACGACAGTGGAAGATGACGTGCTGAAAGCTTTCTGAAAATGTTGGTCATTACTTTAAATGGAATTGAAATTCCAATTTAGTATTTCCCATAATATGATCTTACTGATAACAGGATAACATTTCAGAGATTTCTTCCCCTTCGAGGACCCAAATCTGTAAGTCCTCTGGACTCCCACAGATCCTGGCAGGTTATTCGACTCATAAAAGCATAGGTACCCTCAGGGTCATGCAGGGATGAAGGAGCAACTGTCATTGGCTGTGTCCTGCATTCCCCATATAGTAAGGACTGGAGGAGACCAGTGCTCAATTCTTCATTCTCAGACAGCTGTCAGAGGAGAGCCATGAATGTGCAGTGTCCAGCACATTACAGACGTTCGTTAATTGACTGAGCATTCATGGTGTGACACCCCTATAACTCAGCTATCCTATTCAGTCAAAAATTAACTCAGTAATCAAAGTCATGAAAAGGAAGAAAAAAAAACCCTACAGCTCCAGCCAGATGGTAGGGAAATCAGACAGATGAAAGGAAAATGGTTGTAGGTCATCAAGTAAGACACTGGGCAGCAAAACGTGGGCCTTGTGCCTGGTTATACTCCAAAGTATAGCTCAAGCAAGGTTTGGCAGGCTTTCCAAAGTCCTGGTTTATTCTAACCTTCCTTGGGAGCAGGAGCAGTGTTGGTCAGATGGACAGACACATGAGAAATCTGTCCAAATGGTACCATATGAATTTGAGCTCTTGGTATACATGGATAAGTGGGAAAAAGAGGAGAGAGACATGCAGGACTGACCCTACCATTTATGAAGTCTTGGGCAAGAGTATGAATGAAAACTCACTTCTCTTCCCTTGCCTGGCTCCACTGCACATGGTAAAGAGCCTCAAGCATGTGTGTGTGGACACTGCACCATGGATCCAAGCTCTGACCATTGTCTCTTGAAACAGCTATTCCTCAGCCACCCTCTGACCCTGGGAGGACTAACCCAGGAGAAATGACCACATAGGTCTTGAAAATGGGCTCAGGGCTATTTACAAAGTTAATTCCAGGGTCCCAGGAGTATGAACTAAAATGTGAGTCAGGCACGCAAGGCAGGCATATTCCATTGACTTCAAGGATTCCTCATGCTGTGGAAAGGGACCTCTCCAGAAGACAGGACAGAGCAGAACCCTCTAAATGTGGGGCCCAAAGCAGGAGCCCCTGTTGCTGGATTCAAAGGGTCATATTGGAAGTGCGTAGGCTGAGTCCTCTTCTCACATCACTCATATCCCTTGTACACTTCCTTTCATAGCCTCAGCAGCCATGCCACAAAGAGAAACTCTTCATGTGTGTCTTTTGGTTCATAAATCATAAATAATTATACTTGATCCCATGTCTTTTTTAGAGACATGGACAGAGAGAAGCAAATATATCCCAAGTTCACACTGAGTTGCTTCCCTTCATATCTCTTAGCAGTCACTGAAAGGTTATGATACTCAGGCTGGGTTTCTAACCTCTGGCCCTGAAATGACAAAGTTGACCTCGCGGTCAACCCTAGAATGCAGAGCAAAATCACACTGTCATCTCTACTCCTGGACAGCACACTTTGTTTTGGGGGCTCATGTACTTGAAATATGAGTGATGGCAAAAGGCTTTGAGTCTTATGACACCCCAAGTAATTTTTACTTTAGGAATTTGAAATACAGCCTCACTGTGATACTGTCTCCTTAACAAAGTAGTACCTTTAAAATATTTAACGACTTGAAAAGGAAACTGAGCTTGAATTTTCCTTTCAGGTGCTCAGGAAATACTGTTTCACTTCTGTCTGAAATTCACCATCTCCTCAGACAAAGAAGGCTCTTATGGTAAAAGCAATGGCATTTTCTCCACAATTTTCGAATAAAAGATAAAGAGAAAACAGCACTGCAGCCTTTTTGTTAGGATCTAACAATAAAGCAATAATACGGTTTTGCCAGGGGAGAGCTCTGGTTTTAAGCTCAGAATACAAAAATAGGCTGACAAAATTGTACAAAGGAATATTCTCAGCTACCACTCTGAGGCTGGTAGAAAGTGAAGTTTCAAGAAAATTATATTATTTGATTATCTGATGATGATTAAGCTGATGGGCCAGTCCTATGTGAAATTCTAAAGTAAAAGAAATGTGATATCACCTTTTCTGCTCACCTCTCCCCTCCTTCCTACCCTGCAATCTCTACCTCTACCCCAAACCTAGCCTGAACTTTGGGAAAGGAATGGGTGCTGTCACTTGCACCGTAGCTCCTCCTGCCTGTAATGCTCTCCCCACACAGTCCAGCCTCCCTCTGCTCAGCTAACTTTTCCTACAGCTCCTTCTGGCTACTTCTAAGGAACCTTCCATAATGCTCCCCGCCCTCTCAGTAACAGCCCCTCTACTCCCCCTAGATTACAGGCACTATAATTGGTTAGCAATTGATTTTATGTCCTCTGCCCAATTATACACTGTGAGAGCAGAAACCACGTGTATTTTCTTTAATGTTTAAATCTCCACACTATCCCCATGATTGCCACATAAGTCTAATTGAATAAATGAATGAATGAGTGAATTAATGAATAGAAACTCAAGCCATTATTTTGCCACTCCTAGGATATTTGGATTAACTTTAACTGAGGAGCAAAAAGCATTTACCTGTCCTAAAGGAGATATAAACTTAGTGGGAGACTATTTGGAGGAAAAAAAAAGACACTGTAATATGTTCTTTTGTGTTGCCTACCCTTATGTTTTCAGGTGTTCCTGATATGGGGTGGGATGAGAATTGGAAATAAAATTGCCTAACTTGACATAGTAAGTGGAGGAATCAGGAGTTGAAACCAAACTGGTTTGACCTAAATCAAGCTATTATAAGGACTTGCAAGAAAAAAGGAATCCATAAACACCATAGGAATAGCTACCAATTAGTAGCATTTATATGTGTCGATTACAATGCCAAATGCAAATCATGCTTCACCTATAATAACCACCTTTTATAGATGAAGAAATTGAGACCTGAAGATTAAAATTGCCTAATTTTACACAGTAAGTAAAGAAATCAGGGTTTGAACCCAAATTGGTTTCACCTAAGGCAGAATACCATCCCAGCAAGTCTCCTATTAACCGGAACCCTACTGTGGTGGCTTGGGGTATAACAGTAGCTATGGAAGCACTGTGGAGTCCTGGCCATCTAGTGTGCTCCTGATCTGGTCACTCCTATCACCTGCTTCTGCTCCCTGTGCCATCCACCCATCCAGAGGTCTCCCTTTGTCCATCTTCAGGGGAGATACCACAGTTTCCAGCTTCCAGTCAGTATGGAGTGCACTTGTCCTACAGCAATGTCATCCAAATCACAGCTGCATCTGTTAAGATCAGATTAGGCTACCAATGAGTGATAGATGAGGGGGGGAAATAACAATAGTGTACTAAACAAAACAAATGTTTATTTCTCTCACACGTAAAAATCTAGAGGTTGAAGTCCAGGGCTGGTTCAGTGGCTCCAGGGATCTGGGATTTAGACTCCTTCTTGCTTTTCCACAGCATATGGCTTCCATTTCTGGGGCCACATTGGTCCAAAATGTATGCTGGAGCTCCAGCCATTGCATCCATATTTCAGCCACAGGAAGGAGGAAGTAGGAAAGAAAGGACAGGCCCCTAGTACCTATATAGCTCAAGAAGATCCACCCATACATCCCAACCACCCTCAGCTGAACAATGTCATCTTTATTCAAGACAGTCACATGTGTAGCTAAAAATCTGAATTATGCTATAAACAAAGAGAATAGAGATATGCGCCACCTCAACACCTCATCCACAGCTGCCTTTGCTCAGGTTTTTCTTTGTGCAGCTGTGCCCAAGTGAAAGCCTAAGGAGCCGTGGTAACCCTTCTGAAGGGAGGCCTGGGGCCTTTCACAAGAGGCCGCATGACTGGCATTTATCCTGCATGGCCTGTGAAGTACAGAGAAATATTTTCTCTTGAAGCTACATCATAGCAGTGGCTGCTTTGTAGCCTGATTCCACCATTATGCCTTTAAAGTGCCTAGCAATTCAGCCTTCACATCATGCAAAGAGGAATATCTCCCAGTCTTTGTAAGATCAGCTTGATTCTAACACCTCCTTCCCCCACTGCACTTCTGAGCACACACACAAATCTTCACTCAGAGCAGAGCCATAACCCAGGCACTATCACCTATAGATTGAAGAATCAGGCTCATGATTACAAATATGCACATTTTTTGTGTGTAAGAATGTAAGTGGAGATGATGGTAAGAGATTTCCTTGGTTTACACATTGACCCTCTTCCCTGTATCTTACAATCAGGAAATATTTGTCGCAACACGTTATTTCTTCTGTTGCAGGCTCCTGCGGCTGTCTTGTCATGATACTGTTTGCCTCTGAAGTGAAAATCCACCATCTCTCAGAAAAAATTGCAAATTATAAAGAAGGGACTTATGTCTACAAAACACAAAGTGAAAAATATGCCATCTCAATCTGGGTCATTTTCATTTGCTTTTTTGTTCATTTTCTGAATGTGCTCCTAATACGACTTGCTGGATTTCAATTCCCTTTTGCAAAATCTAAAGACTCAGAAACAACTAATGTAGCTGCAGATCTAATGTACTGAAAGGCAAACCTTTCTATAATTTTACAAGTAAGGGAGTAGACTTGGTCATTTTTAGAGGTAGTTAATTTTGTATATATTATGTACAATTTAGTCTGCATACATTAAAGTATCAGGACCCTCTGTTACAATGTTTACAAATTACCTACTAAGGATACAGGCTGGAAAGTAAGGGAAGCAGAAGGAAGGGTTTGAAAAGTTGTTTCACATGGTGGGGAAATTGCTTGACACAGGTAGTCAAAGGCGGTTGACTAGAATCGACAGATTGTTACTCCATATATATACATATGTGTGTGTGTGTGTGTGTGTGTGTGTGTGTGTGTGTGTGTGTGTGT